CCATGGGAAAGGACCTCCTGGCCCAGGTGGAAATAGGAAATCTGGCAAAAAATACTGTCTCTTGTGCCTCGGATGATGGTGACCCTGGATTCCATTCCTGTTCAAATATCTGGATTCCCTGCCATGACATCTTTTGGCACCTATAACGAGAATGAAGTGTGTTCTTGGAGTCGGCTGTACATTTAAAAATAAAGTTTTGTTAAAAAAAAAAAAAGGAAAAAACAAGATTCATGGCTGAGAATTTTCCAAAATCTAATGTTTTCAGTTTGAAGGAATAAAACTAATTTCTAGCCATGAGGGATAAAAAGGAATCCTGATTGTTACGTCTTAGTGGAACTTTGTGGAACTTTGTGGAACTTTGTGGAACTTTGTGGAACTTTGTACCATCAACAACAAAAATTTGAAAAGATACCAGTGAGAACAGATATTCACAAGACTAGGTGAGTTTACCTCTCATAGACTGTTATTAAGAGAATTTCTAAAAATGTACTTCTACAGAAGAAAATTAAATCCAGAAGCAAGGAGTAGACTGAAAAAACAGAGTTGGTATGTATGTTGGTAACTGTTCTGTTTTTTGCAATGTGAGGGTCATGTACACTTTATTTGCATGTCTAGATTATAAACAATAATGACTAATAAAAACAAGGTGAAAGTAGAATATTAAGGATTACCATGGATGACAAGAGACATTCTAAGATCCTTTTTAATTTTTAGGAAAAATTCAGAAATATTCACTTATACATTAAAGTTTTAATCATAACTGCTAAAAGAACAGAAATTAAAGTAATACCAGGATGGGGATATAGCTCAGTGGCACAGCACCTGCCTGGCGAGCTCAAGGTCCTGAGTTCGATTCCTGCTATTAAAAAAAAAAACCACGTAATACTAAATAACTGCCAAGTTCATTGGTAGAGGAGAACATTTTAAAAAGCTACCAACCTGACAAAAAATAAGAACAAAGAGAGGTGGAAGGTATCGCTCAGTGGTAAACCACTTGCAGAAATGCAGAAGGCCGTAGACTACATCCCCAGCACTGCAGAAGAGGAAAAAAATAAGAAGTGGAAAGCACAAAATAAGGAGTGTGTGTGTCCATGTCTGTGTGTGATACGACAACAGTAAACTCAGATACATCAGCTTTTACAGTAAACAGACATAAATCACATCTTAATAAGATTAGATTTTATGTTCATTAACCACGTGCTACTGAGAAAAATAAACTTTACAAAGCTTGGAAATTCCACTCTGCCTTGTGGATTTATAATTAAATAATATCAGCTTAAGACAGCGGCTTGGAAAAGGCCTGTGATTTCTCGCTTCAGAGACTAGAATACCATGAACTAAAGAGGAAGGAGGTGGAAGTCGCACCTTGGAAGTAAAAATAACCGAACATTATTGAGTTCTTCCTGAGTCTTAATTAGAGCCGACCAAGGAGACGAAGAAGCAGGGTGTTTGTGCTGCGTTGTGGAGGCCCAGACCCAGAAGGAGGGCGTGACCTGCTTTTGGTGTTTACACCCCAAAAAGCAAGAAAAGCTCAAGGAGGAAAAAGGTTTTCAAGATAAAGAAAATGGTCAGGATTATTTGGGCTGGAAAAGAGTCGGGCAGATGAGCATTGGGAAGCTGCGCTGGGATTGAGCTTTAGGAGAACAGATTAGTAAGGCGCTAGAAAGAGACCAAAGAGGGAGGGAGGGAAGAAACAGAGAAAGCAAGGGGATTTCTTCCTCGCAAAGTTCACCTAAAGGAAGACAGCAAAGATGGCGACGAGAGAAGTAATCTCAGGAGACAAAGTCATCTTGGAATGAGCAGCTCAAAAACTGAAGTGGGGGGGATTAAAGCCAGGCCTTCTCAGTGAGCTACGCCCTTAGCCCTTCTTTATTTTGCCACAGGGTCCTGCTAAGTCGTCCAGGCTAAGTGGCATGAACTTGCGATCCTCCTGCTTCAGCTTCCCAGAGCACTGGGATTCCGGCCGCGCAACCACGCCTGGCTGTGTAACAACCGTATTTATGGGTAGTGACTTAATCCAGAACCCTCAGGGAAATGAGTTTCCTGGGTAAATGATCTTTTCTAGGTAACCCAATGCTTGCTTTTTAAAATAGTATAGCAAATTTTTTTTCTGGTACCAGGAATCGAACTCAGGACCTTGTGCTTGCCAGGCAGGTGCTTATGCCACTGAGCCATATCCCCGGCCCAGCAAAGTAAATTTCGACCATTTTCAAAATACCTGCAGTTCCCAGGCAATACCAGAGTGGTTCCTTGCCTTCCTCTATGGGTGATGTTTTCCTTCATGCTTTGAATATACCCAACTGTATTCTGATCTCTCAGCTATCTCTCCGTGACTACAGGACCGTGGAGGCTACTGGACCCCAGACTGAAAAGCCCCCAGTAGCTATATCGGAAGTTACACTCTGCTTTTCTGACCTCTTTGCATGTCTTTTATTGTCGTACGTGTTTTCTCACAGGCTGCTATAATTTTCTACATCTACTCAGCTCATGAGCTGGAGTACAGCATGCTCAGCCCTGATGGATGAGTCAACTCATTGACTCAGCCAGGTTTCTGATCCCGAACAATCACCAGGCTAATAAACACCCGCTGATCCTGCTGGTCGCCGCTGTCTGTGTGACGTAGCTCAGGTTGATAGTTCAATATAAAACCAAGAGTAACTTGGGGAGAGTGTCTGAGAGCCAATTTGGAATGCAGTCTGGGAGCTGCAGTACGCAGACTTTTAGGACATTTATTTGGCTGTTCAGTCAAAGGCCTTTTTAGATCTCTTAACTTTTTATTTCCTGATTTCAAAAGAAGGAGAACAGTTAGGAATGACTGGTTATATCATCCCCCAAGTGCAACTGAGAAATGTCTGCCTCAAAACCAGTAATACCCTCGGTACAGATAGAAAGAGGGTCTCTCCCACCCAGTCGTCCAGGACAAAGGGTGTTCATTTTGTGTTGGGTATATCGATTTGCCATACTTCTGTCCGCTGCCTAGGCTGTATGTTTAGACTTGATCCTCAGACACTCTGCAAGTTAGAACTTACACAATCCTGAGATCATTCACTACCGCCCTTTTTAAAAGCAAGTCTCTTAGCTTGAGCATCTGTAAATTCTTAAAGGATTTTAACAAAAAAACAGAGAGGGTTCTGAAGGCAAGGCTGAGTCTCACGAAGTAGGGAAAGGTCACTAGCAAATCAGGGTGGTCCCTTGTGAAAGACACAGGCTGCCTTCCAAAGGCCTTATAGGGAGATGTTTATTTTCGTGATGATTAACCAGAATCTGGCTCTTAGCTTTGCAGGTTTAGAACCTGATTTAATCAAGATACAAAGCATAGATTCATTACAAGACCTGGGCTTATCTTAACCAAGCTCACAAGATGGATCTATAAACCAAACTGCCAGTTGACGTTCATACGGAAAATTAGAAATAATATTCTTAAAGTCAAATGGCTGTCTTATACTTTCCCTGTAGGCAAGCTTACACAGGAAAGCAGATCAAAATCAAAAGGTTGTTGGTGAGCGGGAAATAGAATAAAGGTGATTCATACATTTACTGGCATAGCTAAGAGAATAGTCCATCCCACACCAAATATCGCCCTGCCAGTGGAGCTAAATTTCTTTGAAGTCTGTCCGCCAAGAATCTCCCTGCCGTGGTCAGTAGCTGGATAGACATCTACCACCATCTCTTTTCATTGTTTTGTTTTTTTTTTTTTCCTGTCTTTCGTTTGTTTTTTTCCAATACCGGGATTCAAACTCACAACCTCGCGCTTGCCAGGCAGGCACTGTGCCGCTGAGCTAAATCCCCAGCCCCCTCTTTTCATTGTTTATACCTAAGATCTAGCTAAGGCTCCCACCCCTAAAAGCACCTCCCATGTTAGACTTTCTCTGAATGTTAATGCTTTTCTTCAGCTTTTAGTTAAACCTCAAGGAGCACCCTTATTTTCAGATTCATTTCTCTTACACTGATCTAGAAAAACCATGGCATTGATAGAATAAGTGGAACAGCTCATCCACCCTAAAGATTATGAGTCATTCACCAAAACAAAGACAAAAAAATCACACTCTTGCTATATTTCACACATATTATCTTGTTTTTTTTTTCAGCAACACGCATAGTATCTAATATTATTTGTCTTCAAATCAAATGACTTGTTTAAAAAATTTACTTCAAAAAGTGATTTAGCCCTACCGTAAATGGAAAATGGCTAGCCCTTGTTACAGAAAGAGGTGACCCTAAAAATATACTGAAAGCAGTAGATCTCGTTCTTCCCAAGTGCTTCTTTGCCTGGATACTGTTTGCCCTGGAATACTCTGAGGCTTAGTAGGTCTTTGTTAAGACACACTGGCACCAGAATTAAAGGAAAAAAAGATACACTAGAAACAAACAGAGATTCTCCTCAGTGTGATAAACGATATCCAAATAGGGCTGGGGTGGAGCTCAGAGCTTCAGTTTAGCATGCAGGAAGTCCTGGGTTCATGCCTAGGGGTGGATAGCAGTGGAATAATTTTTTGTTGTTGTGTAAAGTAGTTAATGAGCCTGGTGTGGTGGTGCACGCCTGTAATCCCAGCACTCAGGAGGCTGAGGCAGGAGGATCATTGCTAGTTTGAGATCAGCCTGGGCTACAAAGTGAGCTCAAGGCCGGCTTGAACTGCATAGTGAGACCCTGTCTCAAAAAGACAAAAATAGGGGCTGGGAATTTAGCTCAGCGGCAAAGTGCCTGCCTGGCAAGCGCAAGGTCATGAGTTCAATTCCTGGTACCAGAAGAAAAACAAAACAAAACAAAAAAATCAAAAGGACAAAAATAAATAAATAAATAAATAAAGTAGTTAACCACTTGTCCATCTACAACCTGAAATGTAATCTCACATCTTATGTGACATATTCCGGGAAAGGATGACCTTGACTTTTTTACTTTAAAGGTATCTGAGAACCAAGCGACACTCTTCCCCAGCCTCTCCTGACCCTGGGCTGTCCGACTCTGCACTGACTGTCTTCTCCCGTCTCCGCCCGTACAGGTACACGCTAGCAGCTCAGGACCTGGTGATGCGTGCCCGTGGCGTCCTGAAGGACAGAGGATGGCGGATATCGAATGACCGGCTGGGCTCAGGAGATGACATTTCTGTATATGTCATTCCCTTAATACATGGAAACAAACTGTCATGAGAGCGACCCAGGGGACTGGGAGGACAGAGGGGAAGGAAGCGGGGAGCCTCCGGGCAGAGCAGAATGGGGAGGGTGCCCGGCTGAGTTCGGGTGACGCAGTTTCTTCCTAGCCCAGGGAGTCTGCTACCGAAAAGCCTCTGGCTGTGCTTCACGGTGACACTTAGCCTTCCACTTTTCCTTTAGTCACAGGTCTGGACACTGAACAAAAGCAGAGCAGGAAGCCTGTTACTGAGTGCTGTATCTCTGCTGGTTTCTTTTGTAAGCCCCCTGGGCAGCAGCTGGCCATCTGGGGGCACATATATCGGACTTATTTTACCTAGAGTAGCTGGGACAGCCGTTTTTAGGTAGAACTGGCAGAAGACCCCCTCAGCCTGTCACGCTGCCGATTTCTCTCCAGGTCCAAACTGCTGCATTGGAAAGCTGAGGGGGTCATGCTTCAAAGTATAAGCACCCACCTTCTAGTCAGCTCGAGGTTTATTCAGGGATTGCTGTCTTTCTCTTCCTCCCGCTCTCCCCTGCCTTTTGCCTGTTGTTTCTCTTTATTCTTTTGTGGTGATGGCAGGGGGAGGCTGGGATTTTTTTTCCTCTCCAACATTCCTTGAATCTTTCTTGTTTCCCTCCCAGGGACCAGGGCTGGGACTTTCCAGCTCCTGGCTGAGGCATTTCTGTGGTAAAATCCAAGCCAGACTGGGTTGTCCACAGGTCCCGTGGCCCACACCGCCCAAACAACCATCCGGAGCAGTGCCCTGAATGACACTGTCCTTGTTGTGTAACTTTTGTTCTTCAGTTGCATTTTCTCACCCAATCGGTGTGTTTTCTTGAAAACAGGGGTGTTCCTTTGGACCACTGGCTCCTCTATTATCTTCAGCAGTCTCTTGGGGTAGCTTAAGGTCTCACTGTGACGGTCTGGATTTCCATTTCTGGAATGGTTGGCTTTCTCCCGCCTGCTGTATCATGGGAGTCAATATAAAGCAGTGTTCAACGGACCGAGGTAGGGACCTCTTGTATCAGTGGCTTTGCCATACCTCATTTGGGGACAGTTTCAGATTCAGGTTTCACGGAGTGTGAGTGTCCTGCGGATCACGCCAAGCAAAGCACGTGTGTAGCAGAGTACTGTGGAGCCAAAGCAGATCTCTTTTCGGTCGTTTTTGGGGAAGGCCTGCTCAGAATGGCACTTGAACAAAAGCACATTTGAAGGTGAGTCCTTCACGCGCTGTCTTCTCTGCCCCTTCTCCGGAGAATCATGCTCTAGCTCGCTAAAAATGGAGACTGTGTGCCTCAGAAGCACAGCAGTAGCAGACACCCCGCCACCAGGAAACCCACTACTTCTGCGCCAGGAGGAACGGCGAAGACAGAATCACTTCGATCTTCTCGGCAGGCTGCTGCTGTGTCCTGGGGGAACTTGGGGAACAACATTTAAACACCCAGTTCTCTTCCTGCAGACCTTCTGGGGTGTCATCACCATGTTGACAACTTGGGTTCATTGAAACACTCTCCCAAACCAGTGCAGATGAAGGTCATTCGTGTGAATCGTCAAAAGTGCTAGAGATCCAGTTCTAGTTCTTGTGTTTGTCTGAAATCCTTTCCCAGCGTAGAAGACAGAAACCTTCGCTCCAGGAGAGTAAATCACCTACATGCCTGGCGTTGTAGGTTTTTTTGTAGGCCGGGTCTGGAGCCTTCCCACTCAGGCGTGAAGGGCAGTTCGCAGTGTAAGCGAAGGGAGTGCCCTGTCTGGCAGGTAAAATACTGTGGAAATCTCCTCCATCAGGTGTCTGCAGGTTGCCTGAGAAGAAATGCGGTGTTACCTTACCTGGAGTCATCTTCGTCGGGTGGTATCCCCTCCTCTTCCAGGGAATCCCTAGCTACCCCCAGACAGCTGTCAGGAGCCGTCTGTGGTGGACCACTCTCTTCCCTGGCAGAGTAAGATGCCACGGAACACTCTCAGGCATCACACAAGGTACGGCCCCCTTTCTGCTCCTGCAGTGACTGTCAAAGTTGCATTGAAATTGGGAACTTGAGAAAGCCTTCCGCAGAGCGCTGCGATGCCTTCTTTGCGATCTTTCCCGTTGCCGCCCTTCTCCTCTTCCTCTTCCTTTCTCCTTCCTCTCTCTCCCGCCTCTTCTTCCTCCTCCTTGTTTTTTGCTTTCCTGGACATCTCCCCAGGCCTCACCTTGAGCTCCTTTTGTCTTACCTAAGCTATCCAAGTGATCATTTCAGTGTCGATGTCGTGACAACTTTCTACTCGAGTCACCCATTCTTTTACTGTCAAGGCATGTCTCAGGAAAAACTTTGGAAAACCTCTCATTCCAACAGTTCTAAAACCTTGAGCATTTAGTCCTGCTGGTTTTAGTAACAAAGGTATCTAGGGATGCTTCTCTTGAGTCCACTTGGGTGGAAAGATCATAATAGCAATCTAAAGCCATGTTTGCATTTGCGGGATAAAAGAAAGACTACAAATGAGGTGAACACATCAAAAACCGAAAAAGTAATTTGTTCATGCCCATAGCAGGGCTACCCAGCACTGATACTGCTCTGTGAATTGAGCTTACTCCGTTTGGCCTTATTTTTCACCCAGGTCCCAAGTTACCCCATCCCAGGACAGTAACTGTCTACATAACGGGTCAGCCGTTGGAGCGTTCTAAGAAACGTGAAACACTTCACTCAGAATTCTGTGGAACATATTTATATGTGGTTCTGAAATCTTGTGTATCTGACTTACAGCCAAATCTGCTTGTCCGGATAGCCTCAGAGGAAGTCTTGTGCAATGAGAAGCGTTTGATTTCCTAGTTAAGTCTTTACAGTTGTCTTGGGGGTTGAGTGGCCACTTCCTTTAATGAAAGGCTCTTTCTGCTCTAAACCTCTTCGCTGGGCTGAGCCCTGCCCATCGGACTAGTTGTGAAGACTCTTGCTTGGAGTGTGAGCTCGCAGTCCAGCCCTGCTCTGACCCCGCGAAGCTTCACCTTGGAACATCCGGACTCGGAGCAGGGCCGGCAGTCAGGTCGGGGGGTGGTTCTGCTGTGACAGGACTCCCGCTCCTGAGGCAGGCCGGGAGAAGTTAGACTCTGCATAAGGCCAAGCGCTCACCTGTCTCACGGGAGCCTAGGGAGTGAGGCTTTCTATTCTTTTCCACAGTACTCAGCCGTGCAGGATCTGGAGTGTTCGTTTTTTTTAAATTCCCAGCAGCTTGCCTCCGTGGGGCTGCATGACGTCAGCTATGCCCACATTCTCTTACTCTCCTCCCTGGTATTTATTTGTCTTGCGGGGAGGAATTACAGCCATAAGTAGATGCTGCTGGGGAAGATGGCAGTCACAGGACCCGGATTTAGCGCCGCACTTTGGCCATTTGGACGAGGTTCGCAGTGTACCAAAACCCCCAGTGTGGAATTGCCTGAGAAAAGCCTCCAGCGTCTTTAAATCTGATTCTCCTCCTATGTCCCGTTCCTTGTCTCCATCCCCGCCTTCCTCACCTGCTTATCCACCGTAACCTCAAGGCCGCAAGTGGCCAGTGGCTTTCTTTCCACCCATTTCAGGAGCTAACCTTTCCTTCAGAGGTCCGCCCTTTTCAGAGTAGGTTGAGCTTTGATTCTCCCTTCAGAAGGTTAGCGCTTCTGGGGCACATGGGGAAAGCAGTGAGATTCATTGTCTATGCAAAGTACAACCAGACTGACCCGAAAAGCTGCCACATTTAGGAAAACAGTCTCTGGCCACGTGAAACTAAGAACTTGGGTTTTGGTGACGTACAAGAGCGGAGAAGTGGACCGGCCCGCACAGCACGGCCCACCTCTCTGAGCAAGCTCGTTCTGCGTGGCGAGGCCGCGGGTGTGCGTACACTGCGATTTTCAAGGACACGACATAGGCAGACTGACCCGGCTCTGATGGGAGCCCCGTGGCTCTTCAACAGATGTGAGTGCCAGTTCGGGAAGGACTGCTCCTTCGGATCAATAGTGTCATTCGTGTAAATAGCTTTACTTTCTCCTCTGCGTCTTAGATGAAGTTCTGTTCGTGTAGCAACCAGGTAGACCGTGACCAAATAAGGCTGTACACGTGCTGCTGTTTCCCACTGTGATGTCTGTGCCCGAGGAAGGAGAGCCCTGTGTCCTCCGCTCGCGTGATCGCCTAGGAGTACGCTGGGTTTGCTTGGGGAGCCTTGAGGTTATTCCTTCACTCCTGCTTTGCCTCCAAGCTTCTTTGCACCTTTGGAGACCCAAGGAGGGCCGTGGTGAGGATCCTCTGTAAGGAGTATGTATGTCACAGTCTGCGTTTGCAAAACCACCCTGCGTGCACTGAATCGAGAGCTGTCTGCCTAGTATGGTTTCAGAACCATGTACCTTTATGCTTTGTGATTGTGAAACACTGACTTTTGTAACCCAAAAATGAAAACCGTTTAGTAAAGGGGATCTATTTTGTGTGTTTTGAAACTTAGGTGCAATGTCCCCTGGGAAAAGCTAAAGAACTGTATATGCTCAATGACATTTTAAAATAAAATACTATATATATATATGTACATAGGACATCTTTAGCAAAACTTTGTGTGTCTTTTATTTGAGTTCACTGCGAAATTTCATATCATGGAGTGGAATGATAAGAACATCATGATAATGTGAGGTTCTCATTTATAAATGCAGATTCCGATGAACATCAGAAAGGAGGAGGGTTGACAGTATTCTAAGTCTTCACAGAGAGGCTTGCAGCAAGGGCTAATACATTTCAACTATGCCTCTAGTTTAGTAACTACCATGGATAGCACGTATAAACACATCAGGAATTCAGAGAAAAGAATTACTCTTAAGAGAGATTCTTGCCTGGTGTGGTGGCACACACCTGTAATCTCAGCACTCAGGAGGCTGGGGCAGGAGGAGCATTGTGAGTTCGAGACCAGCCTGGGCTACAAAGTGAGCTGGAGACCAGCCTGAACTGCATAGCAAGACCCTGTCTCAAAATGAAAAAAATAAAATAATCGAGAGATTCTTAAGTGAGAGGGCAAGTGCCTAATATTGCTGGAAGTGGTAAGAATCAAGACTCCCCTTAATCACTTGGCCACTTTAAGTACTTACAAAGTATTAGTAAAATGTACTATCTCATAGGGGAATGTTGCCTTAACAGTGGGGTAAGGCATCAAAGGATGCTAATTCTGCTTTAATGTAGAATCCTGAAAGTTAAAAGTACTCTAGAAAATATCAACAAAATGTTTTTAGAAATTATCAAAGTAGAATTGTCCTCCCTTATCAGTGGGAAATATTTTCCAACAGCCCCAGTGCCTGAAAATGTAGACAGTACTGAAACATATACTATGCTTTTTACATGTATTTATGATAAAGTTTAATTAATGTATAGAGTAGGCACAGTATGATGACTCACAGTGACTAATAACATTGAACAACTACAGAACAAGCTAGTAAAAGTGATGAATTGTTCATTTCTGGAATTTGCCATTTAATATTTTTGGGCTACAGTTAAGTCCAGGTAAGTGAAATGATGAAAGAGGAACTTGCAGGTAAAGGAGAACCACTCTGTTAATTTGCAAAAGAAAGCTCAGTGTTATAGTTTACCTGGGTTTAGGAAGAACAACAAGAGACAGCCACGTTAGAATGATTTACAGCCAAGCTTCCCAAGCTGTCCCACCTGCGTCTGTACCCCAGAGCTTCTGATGCCTCCTGTCGTGTTTACTTTTCTCTTGTTGGTGAGACAAAATACCCGACACCCAGAATTAAGGAAAGAAAGGTTTATTCAGTTCACTGTTTTGGAGGGTTCAGTCCATACTCAGCTGGATCCAAGGCAGAGTGGCACATGGCAGAGGGCAGCAGTTCATGGTGGTGGAAGACAGCAAAAGCAGCAAGAGCAAAAGGGAGGAGCAGTAAGCAGCGTCTTTCCTTCCCTTGCATTGTATGCAAACTACCCACCCCAGGGCAGGTGCAGCACTCACACCCATAGTCCCAGCATTGGACCATGAGTCAATCATAAACTCTAGAAGCCTGCTTCATGACTGCATGAGGCTATCGGGGGACATCCAGACACAAATCATAACACCTTCTTATCCTCTGCTCAGTAATAGAAACCAATGGAAAGGGCCAGTCTCAGATCCTGGACCTGAAGATTAGGACATCTCTGGAAGATGGAGATGCCTTCTAGCATTCCCTCAGGAGTCATGCTTACTTTATCCAATTAGCTCTTGAAAGGAGTGATCTTCCTCCAAAAATGACTCCAACCATGCCCCTTGTGTCTGATTGCTAGCTCCATAGAGAAGTCGGATTTATTTCTCACCCCTTGAGTCCGGTCTGGCTTGTGACTTGCTTGGATTAATGGAACTCAGAAGTGACATTCTAAGACTTCAAAGCTGAGATCTCTGAAAGTATCACGTACCTGCTCTCACTCTGAGAAGCCAAAAGTCTGTCTCCCTGTAAATGTCAGGCTTGATTAGGGAGTGATGAAAAGGCCTGGAGGGAGAGGACTAAAGTACCCAGACATTAGCAGTCAGGCATCTCCAGTCCTCAAGCCCCAACTGAGGCACCAGGTGATACCATGGAAAAAGAGAGGCCCCTATGCGGATCATTTCAGCTGACGCCGTAGATACTGTAAGGCAGAGAAGCCCTCACAGCGAGCCCTGCCAAAACTCTCGGACCAGAGAAGCTCGAACAAATACAACAGTTTTTGTTTTAAGCCACTAAGTCTTGGATAATTTTATCACAAGCCAATTGGTACTGGAATAAGGAATAGGGATGCTGAGTCTGGGAGACTGGGGTTAAAAGAGTTAAAAATGTAACTGAATGAAAGAGCGACAGAGGTGGAGCTTGCATCACATGTGCGAGACCCCCATTTTAAGCCCCAGCATGGGAAAGAAAAAAAGGAGGAGACAGAAATAAAAGAGAAAAAAAAGGAAAGAAGGAAAAGAAGAAAAGAGGGAAAAAGGAAGGAAAGAAAGTGTTAGCAAAATACACTGGTGACTCGGGAAATAATCTTCCACACAGAACCTGGTACAGAGATTTGGGAACCAGCTCGCAGCAGTATTGCAGAGATTTGACTAATAATCTGTGCTGGGGTCTTAACAGGCATTCTCCACATGTGTGCTTTTGCTTCACTCCCCTTATTTTTTTTTGTTTGTTTGTTTGTTTTTTCTATTTTTTCCAGGACCGGGAATCGAACTCATGACCTCGCGCTTGCCAGGCAGGCGCTTTTGCCGCTGAGCTAAATCCCCAGCCCCACTCCCCTTATATTGATCTTTAGTAAGTTAGGAAAATAAGGACCCTTGTGGGGCTCTTGAGCACAGGAGAAAACAAAGGTTCCTAACCTCCTGCTTATGGTAAGACAAGCCTATGTTGTACTATTTAGGACCCTGGGATGGTCAAGTTGTTCCTTGGTTCCCAAGCTTGTGTTTCTTGAGAGTATTAGGAAAAACAAAATAATTTTAAAGGTCGTTTGTGAAGGTACGTATTGTGGGTTTTTTTTTTTTAATCTCATCATTAAAATTTTCTCATCATTTAAAAATCCCTATCTGCAGAATACTTCCAACTGGTTGCCATTTTCCTTTAACTAAATGACAGTCCAAAGAGTGAGTTATATATCCCAGCAATTAGTCTGCCTTCTTAATTGCTTTTTCTCTCATTAAAACCTTGAAGAGGCTGCTGCTCGCTGAATATAGCTCTGTACATTCTAAGTTTCATGCCCTTCCCTTCTGACAAGACTTCGTGGCCACTTCACCTCTTTCGCTTTATTGATTGCAATTATGCTGCCACAGAAGATAGCGTGACTGAGCACACGGAGGGCGCAGAGTGGACAGAGACTGTTTTCCAGGCAACAGATCTCATCCCTTTGCTGGGCCAAGGGGCTCGGGGGCAGGGCTCCGGAAGGGCTGAATGTAGCCCCAGAAGAGAAACCTTCCTTCAGAGGGCATGTAAATCAGAGCCGCTCCTTTAACCGTTCAGAAATTTAATACTTGGCTAGTCTAGTCACTAAGCGAAGAGCAGATGAGCTCATTCAGAAGGCACCGTTGTGGAGACGGGAGAACTCTTGGCGTGAGAATAGGTGAAGTGAAGCCAGAGCCGTGAAATGTCCCAAGTCAGTTTGCTTCCCATCCTTGGAAACGTCCTAAAGCAGCATCCTCAGTAAGCAAACATCTCTGATTGAAACTAGAGAATCAGCGAATCTGCCAGAGGTCGTCTTAGCGACTGTTAGTCAACTCTATTAGTCATTGCTTCCCTGTTGCGTTTGGTCTGTGCAGAAAAAAAGGTAGAAGGAATTCCTGAAGAAACGTGAATCTCCATTCTCCTTATTTTATGGGGGGAAATGAAATTTCCAATTCTTAGAAGCCTTTTAAACACAACGCAGTAGCCGGGCGTGGTGGCGCACACCTGTAATCCCACCACTCGAGAGGCTGAGGCAGGAGGATCATTGTGAGTTCAAGACCAGCCTGGGCAACAAAGTGAGCTCAAGGCCAGCCTGAACTGCATAGCGAGACCCTGTCTCAAAAAGACAAAACAAACAAAAAAACCAACAACAATGCAGAGAATATTTGGTCAATGTCGCATAGTAAAACTTAAAGGAAAATTAACAGCACAGTTGTTCTCATACTTACAAAAAACATAAGTAGTGTCATCAGTATTACAGGCCTTAAAATACACTGCAAAGAGACTCAAAAAAGATGACATATGATGTGTGTCTTGGCATTGCTCCAAAGTAATTAAAGGAGGAGGACTGGATAGATTTATAGATGCAACAAGATTGGCCATGTTGAAGAAAGCTGTACAAACTTGGAAATAAAAGGGTGACTACATGTTTTTCCAGTGTCTCTCCTAGAATATCATCTGCCAGGCCCACCCAGAGATTATTTAGTTATTAGGTTATGGGTCACCAAACTTTTTAACTACAGGGCCGCCTAGTAAATATTTTAGGCTTTATGAACCATTTGGATTCTGTCACAACAGCTCAAATCAGCTCATGCTGCACGAAAGCAATCTGAAGTAGAATCCGTACTGAGGTGCTATAAAGTCAAGCTTGATACCTTGACTAAAAGATTGGACTCATAAAAATGTAGCCTAAGGGGCTGGGGATTTAGCTCAGTGGCACAGCGCCTGCCTGGCAAGCACAAGGTCATGAGTTCAATTCCCGGTACCAGAAAAAAACAAACAAACAAAAAAAAAAAACAAAAAAAAAAGAATGTAGTCTAATTTTGTTTCTCTGATATGGAATAAATGAAGAAACTCACATACATTAACAAACTCTAGTGACCTCTTGCTAAGGAAAATCTAAGTAGATCCATAATCATTTATCTTGTTTTATTGAGTCATAAATGGGCAACTTATAAATTGCTTAGTTTTTATTGCCAAATGGTCCATACTTCAGCTTTCAGCTGTACCAGTGGTAGATACATTGGGGTTGTGATACTGCATTCTCTCAGTATTGAGATAATACCAGTTATATAATCTGCCTTCAATTCTAAACTGTTAATTGTTTTTTTCTAATTTTCAAGGGGTAACTTAACCCCTCATTTCTCATACTCCAGCTACAAGGCAAAGAAAAGCATTCAAGTAA